ATGGATTCAAATAGTTATCTAGTACGTCTTTTTATTGTCATGGACTTTCGTCTGAAACAATTCGAGAATTTTTTCAAGATCCTATGCTAGCTTTTACTACTTCAAGTCGACTCATTTCTCCAAATTTCGATTCTGTCAATATTTGTGGATGTGGGTGTGGTTGATGAGAAAGGAAAAAGCCACACCCGCACACACCCACACCCATCACACTCACACCTACATCCGCCACACTCACACAGCTACACTCGTCACATCCACACACACACACCCATTCGCTTCCTTATCAAGACACCATCGTCTCACACACGCTCAATAAACATTAAATTGGAGTGTATCTTTCTTTAAAGCAAACTTTACATAGAGGACGGAGATAAAAAGTCAACATTTTGTTATTTATCTGGTCATATTTACTAATTGAGATAAAACACTTTTGTGCTTTCTCGTTGCCGATAAGATGATGCATTTTTTGTTTCACTGTGTTGATATCGGCCAATTAGACACAGTTAAACATTTAAAATGCTTCAAAGTACAACATACATAACAATGTTTATTGCCGAGTTTCTTTTGCAAAATAAAAGGGTTCTTTCAATATTCAACAAGCGCATATTAGGGGGTATAGGTGGAAAGAGACAACACCTACACTCTCTTTTCTAACAATCCTGGCAGTTAAGCTAGTATAATTAGACAAGCTATGGAACATATTTCCAATGCTCCATGAAAACCAATCTTCTTTTGAATGTTATGGCCAGGGAAAGGAGTCAAGCTGTCTATTTATTCCGAGATTAGTCCTAATCCAATCATTAAACGAATTGCAGATGAAGATCCAAGAGATAAAATGCATAGAATCGAATTGTAGGCTTATTTCAGAACTGATTCTAATGGGTGGATAGATGTTCGTTATGATAATGGTTCAGCGAGAACGATCTACAGTGAAAAAACGTTGGCAACTGGTAAATATTTAGGAGCTTTCAAAGTTGGCAACTATGCGGAATATAATGGAAGATATAGATCGGAAATGTGGATGCATATGATCGTAGTCATTACTAGTGGGACTTCTCGAAATCCTGTCAATGGTCATAGCTTTTAAAACTTTCAAATACTCAATGATGATGATGTTCTAAATCAATAAGATACAAAATAAAGTGAATTCTGCCTCACAGAGTTAAAAGAACCATTATAATCCACTGACGAGTGAAGTACCCCAACTGTTTAAAAGCTTTTGACTCCATCTTTTGGCTATAAATAGGTCTTAGTGAGACTAAGAAAACCCTAAAAGCATTCGTGCTCATGGCTCCTTCCTCTCGAGATATGGCTAAATGTATATGCAAAAAAAATAGGCTTTTTGTGTACTCAAAAAGTAAGTACACTCTAGAATCGGAAAGTGTGTCCGACCGTTTACACGATAACTTTTGAAAGGAGAGCCCGATTGCGATGAAATTTTCTACACAGTTTAGTCTTAACAATATCTCGGTCGAGTTCGAAGATGAGAATGATTGGCCGAACCATTGCTGAGTTATTGCAAAAATAGTCATTTTTCCCTATGAGAAGATAGACCCTTCTCTGCTTTCATAAAAAAATTTTCCTATCATAGTCATATAAAACCCAACTATTATATACCATTCGATAGAGAATTTCACGAGCTACAAAATGGTATATAAAACATAAAGAAACAAGAAAGCTAACTCGCCTATTGCAAAGATAATTAATCGGAATTCGGTTCTATTTTTGTCCGCGCTCTATGTGATCCACAATTAGAGCTCTATCTTCCCATCACAGCGATGATAGTTCGAGGTTTTCTAGAATGGAGAACTTGAATCTATGTTCCATTCGCCTCGAAATCCCATTGGTTGAGCAGTGACCAATAGAAATCAAGTTATAGGAAAAACGAGCTTCTTAGGGTAAATCAAGGTGAAGAGTTCAAATCTGAGCTGTATTTGCCTCCAAATCGTATTGGCTAAGCAATAGCCAATATAAATTAAGTGTTTACAGGACGGGTTTGCCAGGACAATTTTGATGTCCACACATTCTATGGTGACTCATCTGCCTCATTCACTTTTTCCTGTACCAATATTGACCTATTCCGAGGAGGAGGGGGGCGTGTTTAAGTACCTTTACGTCTTTAAGTCCTATATTAGGGGAGTATCATTATGTCCTCAAGTCCTATATTATAGGGGTGCCTTTAGGTCCTCAAGTCCTATACTATAAGGGTACCCTTAGGTCCTCAAGTCCTATATTGTGAGGGTACCCTTAGGTCCTCAAGTCCTATATTAAGGAGGTATCGTTACGTCCTCTAGTCCTATATTATAAGGGTACCCTTAAGTCCTCAAGTCCTATATTATAGGGGTATCTTTAGGTCCTCAAGTTCTATACTATAAGGGTACCCTGAGGTCCTCAAGTCCTATATTATACGGATACCCTTTGGTCCTCAAGTCCTATATTAGGGTACCTTTAGGTCCTTAAGTCCTATATTATATGGGTACCCGTATGTTCGGAAGTCCTATATTGTGAGGGTGCTCTTAGGTCCTCGAGTCCTATATTATGAGGACTCAATTATCTTCACTTTTTGTGTACTCAAAAAGTGAGTACACTCTAGAATCGGTCAGTGTGTCCGTCCGGCCGGCCGTCCGTCCGTTAACACGATAACTTTTGAAAGGAGAGTCCAATCGCGATGAGATTTTCTACACAGTTCAGTTTTAACAATATCTCGGTCGAGTTCGAAGATGAGAAGGATTGGCCGAGCCCTTCCTGAGTTATTGCAAAAATACTCATTTTTCCCTATACCTTCCCTATGGAAAGATCGACCCATTCCCGCTTTCGTAAACAACTTTTCCCATCATAGTCAAATAAAACCCCAACTATTATATACCATTCGATAGAGAATTTCAAGAGCTACAAAATGGTATATAAAACATAAAGAAACAAGAAGATTGGCTCACCTATCACAAAGATAGTTAAAGAGAACTAGATTATGTTTTTGTCCACACTCTAATTGATCCATGTTTAGAGCTCTATCTTCCGATCACAGTGATGATGCTTCGAGGTTTTCTATGGTGGAGAACTCGAATCTGTACTCCACTTGCCTCGAAGGCCCATTGGTTGACCATTGACCAATAGAAATCAAGTTATAGGAAAAGCAACTTTCTGAGGCTAAGTTAAGCCGAAGAGTTCAAATTTGAGCTGTATTCACTCCGAAATCCTATTGTTTGAGCAATAGCCAATAGAATTCAAGTGTTTATAGAAAGGGTTTGCCAGGCTAATTTTTATATCCACACATTGTAGGATGACCGATTTGTCTCATTCACTTTTTGAAGTACACATAACTCTCGGATTTAAATCCGAGGTTTCCACATTTATTTAGAGATTAAAGGCACCTCTTAGTACCCATACCAATGCAAACTGTTAAGACTAGTTCATGTTCGCAAAAACCGCATTTAAACGATTACAGACATTTAAATTTAAATTATTTAAACGGGCAAAACATGTTAAACGACTAAACATTTTTCAGCACTTTAAACGCCTTTTTGGTGACACACCACACTGTTTCAAAGGTCGACACTCATGGTATTTAGACACCTTTTTTCCATTTCTTGTCTGCTCGGGTTTGTCTAGAACTTTTCTCAAAAGATAGTGCGTAGAATTCCCTACAAATCTATGGACAAATGCCTGTCGTCAGGTCAAAATCACAACGCTATTGTATAAATATTAAGAATATGTATCTTCAACAATGTTCAACCGCAGAATTTAGCTTTCTCGACTTTTGTGTGTTTTCATATTGTGATATGCAAATATTCAGCTAGTCTTTTTGTAGATTTTGAGAAGCCCAATCTAATATGTATAAGAATTTCCACAGCCAGCTCCTATCGCATAATTTCCCAGGCTTTCAGAGAAACAGACACTTTTTTGTACCCTACTTTTTTTATGTTCTTGAAAAATTCATATAACTCGATCACGAACTATTTTGTTTCAAGCAAATGTTTTTCTATTTAATGGAGGTGTGGGTACCCTCTCCCCTCTTAAAAATTACGGAGTCATGCTATAGAAATCTACCTTAATATCAAATCAATGTCATTTTCTATTGATTGGATTCAAGCAAAAAGCTAGGTATGGCAAAGTGGGACTTTGTGTGCAAAAGTTCGATTCTGCTTCTATATTTTCAGTTGATATGTTCTTGCTTGCATTCCATTGAATAGAGCACATTTGATTGTATTACAAATCGTGCGATGAACCGTAGAGGCAATGTTCCACTATTGAAGGAAAAATGAATATCACTTTGCATGGTAACGCTTGAAAGTTGTTCATGGTACATACTCTCAGTATTTCTATAATGTCTTTTGGTGGTTGCATCTCTACTACATACGTTTATCTATAATTTTGTAGAGAATTGCGCGGGCTGTAATTTGAAAAATATACAAGGATAAGCATCGAAATATGAGAGGGATATTCACAAGATATCAAGAGGCCAATTTTTTTATGCCACATCCAATACATAAAAAAATACTTACTTCCTTTGCATGTCTTTTACGTGAATGTGTATTTTGCTGATCAGACATGATCAAAACGAAGTAGCATTTCAGTGAAAATATTGACTTCTCAAAACGTCGCAAAAACACAATGATGACGAGAGAACACGAAAATAAATCACAATAGTAATTGCACAATCACTATAGCAATATTGTTACAAATACAGAAAAAACATCGTATTTTTTCTTGGCTGTGTGACGCTACTCTGATCTTGCAGGAGAAGGACAATAAAGGATGGGACGTGTGGATGTGGTTTGAGTGTTGTGAATCTCTACATTCACACTCACATCCATCCACACACCTACTTCCTAAAGTCTATAGATCAATCTTGGTACTTTTGTGTACACTCGTTGAATATCGGACTATAATAGTAATGAATATTTTTAATAAAAATTCATCGACGGTATCGAGATGAGTCTTTTATCATATGCATTGTTTATTCTTATTTAAAACAGATGACAATCAAGTTACATAAATTATCAAACTGTAGAAGAAGGTAACGATGATGATGCATGTTGAAAAATGGTACGTGTTAGTGGAATATAACGTTGAATTTCATGAAGAAAAGTAACATAATCACTAATTGTTAACATTTTCTGATGTACATTGGCTAATTCACTCTTCAATGATTGATACATTGATTCACGATTGATCATACAAATTTCATAGAACTGTAAAAGTCGATGACCATTCAGTCGCAAACATAGAAGAAGCATAGTATTATCAAGTCTGTTTGTTAGAAAAAATGATTGAACATGTTTATTAGTCCGTTGAGTAATGCAATCAGATAGTTCACTGCATAAAGAAATAATATAGAATGAGGAAATACAAACAGGGTTATCTAACTGTTATTGATAGCTTTATTTCAGTCCCATTTAGTTATAATCGACAATTATTTCTATGATCTTAAAATCGATCAAAAGTTTTTTCTGTAAATATGAACGCTGCTCATGTTTCAAGAACAATACTATTTGAATAATATCTTCGTACCTCTTGCGTCCATTTTGAAATACTTAATTTTCAATGTCATCACTATCGAAAACATCTTTCTATTCTATAAATTTTTCAATTATGAGTTGTAAAACAAAACTTACACGATCTGAGATCTATCAATCAATATCGAAGCCTCTTGAATAGATTTCGAAATCGTAGAAGAAATATCTGGATAATTTCTTTCTTTAGATTTTACCATCGAATAATTCATATTCAGTCGACAATGTTGATTTATTTCTTTTTTCAATTTCTCATAGGCCAATGTAAATTCGATCTTGGTAAAATCTACCCAAATTCTACCGCTTACCATAATACCGAGCTATCCATCAGGCTTATAACAAGGTTTCATAATAAGTGGTATCAAATGACAACGTCGTTCAAATGCATAATGTGCTTCTGATTGACAATAGACACTTTGTTTATATGTATCCGACATACATATGAGAACAAATTCAGAATTTTCAATAGCTTCTGCCATAGCAACCATTGTAGTTCCATACATATTATCACGATCGATCCAAACACTAAATCCATCTTGAACAAGCCGTTCATGAATTTGATAACATAATTGTCGGTCACTATGTGAATAACTTATCATAATATCGTATTTATATGATTTTGAATTAGTTAATTTACCAACAGCTTCAGCTTCTTTTTCTAATTTTCAAAGAAGAGCTTCGGCAGCTCGTTGTAAATTTGATTTATTCGAATTTGTACTATTGACAAGATTTCGAATTGTTGACATCAAATTTATATTTTGTCTTAAAGTCAATAAAGCATCATTATTAAATGAAAGTGCAAGAAGAATTTCGAGAACTATTGGTTTGACTTTAATCGGATCAAATTCAATTTCAATTATACATCGTACAAGTAATGGAAGTGCATTTTGTCTTATTAATTCAATTTTGACTTGATCATGTTGAACAAAATCTAAAGACAATCAACCGTATAAAGAGATTAATAAAAATAAAACAAAATATAACTTACTTTTCAAACTTTGTAATATACTATAAAATCGTTCTTTTGCCTTTGGATCATCAATTGTATTCAAAAGATACTTAATATAGACTCTCGTAATCTTACTCGGATTTGCCATAGTTTTAATATCTATTTCACTCATCAATTTACCCAAGCAACGATAAGTATGCAATTGTGTTGCATCTTCTTGAACATCGGTCATTTGAAGTAGCATTGGAATTAAATTTGGTATAGTTTTCATAAAATCTAGTACATTTGTATGTAATGTAAAATCGTACAAATTATAAGCAATAAGTTTTTTTATTGATATAATATTCGAATCATTTGATGAATAGTTAAGTATTACTGATAAAAATGATGACCATTTAGAAACTAATCTACAATAATCATTATAAAATTCTTGATTTGATATATTGACATTTTCCCACTCGATAAGACGAAGAAGAGCATTATTCAAACGACGTAGGGTATTTTCGACATCCTTCGAACAATGAATAATTAAATTTGAATGACAAATTATTAGCAATTGAGTAAATGGACTTAATAGTATTCGTGGTATTTGACGAAAAAGTTCCGGATCATAATAAGATGGATACCATTTGAGATATAATGGACATGTACTAAGAAGAAGTATTTGACCATAATTGAGATTTTGGGAAAAATTATATTCTAATTTTTTTATTATTTCAATAGAATATGAAGAACGTAAACATTTAATAACAGCAAAAACCAATGATGTAGTCGATGAATATTCATTTATTATACTTTGTAATCTATTAAAATATTGATATGTCATTAGTAGACAATGAATTGAATTCAGAAAAAGAGGATCATCTAAGTATTTGCCATTGTCACCAATCTCGTTGAGACAATTGGTAAGCTCATCGATTAAAGGTTGATGAAAAAGAAGTTGCTTGAATAGATGGGCATTGGTATTATTGATATGAAGACTAATATTTACCAAAAATGTCGACAGGTCACATAATAATTCGCATGCAATATGTTGATTTTGTCTTCGACGAAGATAATCAATAAGGACAGAATCACGTAGAATGATGAAAAGTGGATGTATGATGAGTTCAGGATCAATTAGTTGATTATTCTTCGATGAAAAATAAGTTAATAAGGTAACAATTTGTTTGATCAATGCAATTTCCACAGTAGAGTTATTAGACTTCTTTATTTCAGAAACGAATGTATCCAATGATGTTTTGAATTGTTCAATGCTAATGATTGTTGCTTGTTCTTCAATTTCACCACAATACTGATCCACAACAGTATTCATCTCCGATTAGACATTTAAAAGAAAAACAAAGTATATAATGATAGTTCGAATATTTTTTGAACAAACTTATAATTCGGAGACATTCAAAAACAAGAATGCAAAATAATTTCTATAAGAGAATTAAATTGCTCACATTGTACATATACTTGAACTACCGCCGATACAGTAACACCGGATTGAAGACTAAGAAAACTTCTAAGAGCTGATGTCACATGTTCACATACGAATAATAACGATTTTCTTGTACAGAATAATAATATTTAATATTTTACTGAACTAACTTTAATTTCAAAGATATGTCTGTAATTTCCTTTGATTGAAGCAGAATTTTACTTTCGATCATTGGTAGAATTTTGTTTCCTTTTTGGCTCTTAGTACAATTTTTAGCATAGCCAATTGGATTGAGTTGTAGTCCTTTTCTTACAAGCTAGTCATAGAATATACAGACTGTCTGAAAAGTAACTCCCCATTTAAAGTTCTTTTTATTACTCTCAAACAACAAAAGATATTGTAACGAGTTTTTCACTGTTTAGTTTTAAAGCATGTGTCATGGCATTTTGTTGTAGATGAAACAAGCCGATTGATTGTTTGACTGTCTAAGAGGGGTGCGGATGTTAATGTAGATAATATTATCACTCACACTCATCCTAGGTCAGAACCGAACTAAAAAAAAACCAATCTAATCAAATTTCTAAACGGTGTACAAACAAGCTCACATAGTTTTCTTAAGAGGAACAATAACTTTAAAAATGATACGAAAACGAAAAAAAAACTTATTTCTATTTCATGTATGTCTGTGTCTATTGATGTAGTTTTTTCTTAAAGTTATATTCAAAATCTGTTCTGAGTCAATAATAACAATTGAGCATCATTTTTAATTACGAAGACATCGTCGAGACTTGTTTCTTATGTTTCATGCATCTTACTCATTAATAGTTTAATATGACTCATGCCAAAAGAAACACATGATTGTCGCCTATGATTCTCACAATAGTAAAGGACTTTCGATCATATAGTTGTTTGAACTAATTTCACAATTTAAACGTATCAATCAAAAAACATTAGGATAACCTTTCTGCTACCTTCTACACGTTGCATAACGAACCTAGAGAATGATACTACTATTTAGAGGTTGCTTTTTTTTCTTCCATAAGTTCGAATAGTTATCTCGAATGGTATTACAACAAACAGCATATTTCAATGCTTGTAGCTTACCTTTTCAATATCACTTAGAAGAATTAAATCAATGAGAACTGTTACCAAAAAAAATTGGATTTCTTTTTCAAAAATGAAACGTGTGACTATGTTGATCTACGATGCTGTAACGATATTTGTTCTCTATATCTTCCATCTGCTTGTTCTCTCATGAAACAGGCAACAAGGAGAAAACATTTTATAGGCGATATACTATTTTTTTTCTTTTCTGTCTATGTATCATTTCTATTACGCAAAATATGCTTACATTGTATCTCTCTGCAAGAGAACATCTATTATTTTGATGACGCGGTACGTTGGCTATAGCACTGCGAGTGCGTGTGGATGTGGCTCTTCACTCTACCTACACCCACATCCAACCGAAAACGAGCGAAAACAAGTATGTAAACTTTCATTAATTTTTGCCATCAAAATAATATTTTTTTTTGATTCCAAAATCATACTTTTTGAGTTAATTAACTCATTTCTCATTGAGAAGATCTATACGGACAGCAAATGAATCTGAGCAGAGAGTGAAAAAAAGAAAAAGCTTAGTGTAACGTGTATGATAGAATAGCTCAATAGGATTTTTTATGCACTTATTTGCTTAATAATAAATGTGAACGTTGTAAATTGATTGAATAGTTATTGATATTGCTATTTGTCTTCTTATAACAGCGAAACAAAGAAATGAAGACTATCGATTCTATTGGTTCACACAACCACTTGCAGAAATGAGTAGCATCTTGTGAAAAGTGTTCCTTCTATTTATTATATCCAAAGTCATATGCGAAAAGTTTTTTTATTAAGTTTAAAAAAAGTTAATCGAGAAAATCATGTATTTAAAAAACTATTTTTCAGCGAATGGCGCCCTGGTTTTAAGTATTTTCTCATTATTTGGGTGTAGAGGTAAAATCTGATTGCTGAACGAAGATGACTAATATATTTAGAGAATGAGCTATACGATAATAATTGCAAAAAAGTAATGTTTTCGATTTTTATGGTACTTCGATATTTTTGAGGATTTCGATTACTTTGTTTCTTTTTATTTCAATTTGACAAAAAATTCAACATGTCGTATCTTAGGTCATTCTCGTCCAATGCCACAGCAGACACTTTGTCGATAAATGATCTTGTTGTTGACTGATACACAAATGTACTTTATGGAGCATCACATCAGTAGTCAATCAAAGCTATTTATTATACATCTTATATTCAAAAACTTGCTAAAACTCCTTATAGTAAAAAGTCATCCACAAGAAAAGTTTCAAAAGATGTAATAGAAGATGATAAATTTTCGTTGTTTTAACACTGAAAAGCCAAGTTTATTAATAAGAAACAAGGTTTTGTTATTAAAATTACTTTTCTTCTAGTAAAAAAGTGGATTTTCTGGTACTTGACTGCTTATATTAAATATAGAATAGGTTTAAATCTATCAACTTGTGAAACTAATGCTTGTTTTTCGATTTCCTTACATGTGATCTAGTATACAAAAATATCCAGTCTCTCTCTTTTAACACGATTTTTAACACTTCTATGTCAGTGACGTTACAACAGTATATCAGGACTGATTAAAACACATTGTTACGAAAAAAAAAATTAAAAAAAAGAGTTTAAATGATGAATCTTTTGTTGATTCTAATGAATATATACAAATGGAATAATATGTATCACATCATCACTTTTTGCCCAGTAAATGCATTTAAACCTGATGATATGAGAAAAAAACACTTTTTAACGGGTTCAATCTTTTGATTCGTCATATGGAAGATTTGTAATGCAGTTTTTCATTTTTCCATCCAAACACGTTAAAACATCATTTTAACGTTTATTTGCTTGCATGCGTAGGGTATTACAATGCAAGTTGTTATTGAAAAAGAGTTGTCATGACTATTGTACGCGCGAAAAGAAAGTACAAGAAAAACTTGTGTTTATCAGTGTAATGATGTATCATGTTGCAGTTGGCGTGCATTAGTTTATCACCACATTCATCTAATAAAGGCACACTTTTTTGCAGACGATAGAGATAAGAAACGAGAACGACTGCTCTACTACAGCAAGGTAAAACGGGAGGCACTGCGTGTGGGTGTGGAGTGTGGGTGCGGGTGTGGGCGTCTTCTCTCACGTCCATATCTACACCGACACCCACACCGACACACCCACACCCACACACACACCCACACCCATACCCCACACCCAACTTTATTCAAAGCAAAGACTGAAATCATATCACTTGTATGCTTCCAATTTCCACAGCGATTAGGTTGGGGTGAGGTACTGGACTTGATATTGTTGCGGGATTCTAGTTTGAGTAAACTAGGATACATGAATTCTAATACAGACAAAAAATTATATTTATATAGTTTCAGTGTCGATAATCAAGTTTTGATATGGGCAACGAGAACAGTGGGCAACGAGAATGTCTTAGTTGGTGTGCATTTCATAAAATAGCAAATGAGAATAATGTTTCAAATTTTATTTTATTTTCTGCTAATCAGTGAGAAAAAAAATCAAATAAAAGTTAATCAACAGTTGTTTTCGCATCAAGGTAACCATTATGACAAAGATCTATGACGAATATAACCGCTAAAACTTGTTTGAATATGTATTGATTGAACTTGAAAATAATTATCAATGATATCTTTGAACTTTCGAATAGTTTCTTCATGTGAACAAACTATCTCGATCGCATCAATCGATGGTTTCGTATCTTTCATTGTCCGTTTCTCATTGGAAATATTGGTGATAACAGCAATTAATTGTCTATTGCCATCAGATTCTTCAAATGTGACACATGTGACACAACTAACAACTACATTCAATTGTTCGTAAACATTTTGATCACATCCAGTACATACAACCAGAAGATCCACTTCTCTTTTCTCAATTGAATTTCGATGAAAAAATCCTTGTTGAAGAGGAATATAAGTAACATGTAAATAATTATCGAGTACACTAGCAGTTATTGGTGATAAGGGACTATTGATATCACTTCGAATGCATAATTCTTTTCGACTTTTACCTGTTGTAGTATCGAAACCCTGTTGTAAAAGTTTACCAAACTCGGCATCACGTCCATGGTCGAGAAATACCTGTTCATCAGCATATATCTCAGTAAAAATAAGTTTCGTCTTTGTTTCATCAGCATGTCGAAACACATATGTATATACTTTAGAATGATCACGATGGACAATATCAGCCATACCAGCCAAACATTGGAGGATTTTTGCTGCTGCTGACTCTGAAGTTGCATCGAATTCAACGTGTAATAAAAAAGTCATTGTTTTCTTTCTTCTATCTGTCTCACGCAAGAACAATGGTTGAAATAGAACACGATAACATTTTATAATCTTTATGAGTCATGAGAACAACCTTTATCAGCATATCCATATAAAGTAATATACATGGCGTTGACTCATAGGATTGTCAACAATACAAATCTGATAATCTTTTGCACATAAGTTTAAAATGTCAGCTCTATATAATATTTACTATTAGCAAAACGCTGGTGGATAACAATGACGAACTGGATGAGAACATATGAATAAAGCGAAAAATTTTACTGGGGGCAGCTTTGAACAGAGAACATAGATACTAATAATAAACATTGTATTCTTTATCCATCTGAACTGATTTAAGGGTACCCTGCCCCTCTTTTTTGATCGAAAAATCGATTTCGAGTTGGGTGTGGGTGTGGGTAGGGTGTGGGTGTGGGTGCGGGCGTGAGTGTGGATGTGGGTGTGTGTATAGTCGAAGGCAATACACACACCCATACCCCACACCCAAAAGTTATTCGGAAAACACTAGAGTGCATGCTATTTTGAAATCGGTAGTAATATTCATAAAACTTGATCAGATGGTGTTTAAAGGTGATAAGTAAGAGTAGATACATCGCTATCTATTTTGTTTTTTACTTTATTCGTATTTAAATATGAATTAAAAGAAGACACCATATCCACCTCTCTTGATCTAGATGACATAATCTGTGAACGATCTGACTATGTCTTACCTTCAAAACTGTTTTTCTTACGAAAAATCCACTTTCTTCGGAGGAATAAAATTTGAAATGACACCAACTCATAAACTACTCATTTCCGACTAATCAAATAGACACTTTTATCTCAAATTTCATTTTTTTGACACAATTCTATATCTTTGAAGATGAAGAAGAGGCTTAAAATCAGAATGCATGTACTTATTAAAAATTCTAAATAAATTATTCATCGAATTTGATCATTATTTCTGAAGTAAATGACATATATATATATGTTAGTATTACCATATCATTAAATTACAAAAGTGTTCGAGCATTTCAACGTATGATTAATGTATAACCGCTATCATTTGATATTTCATTATGAACAAATGAAGATGATGAATTATTCTCTCAAAAATATATTTTTTTAAAGAGTATGTTCAATTTCAAATTTTGTTTTATAATTTTGTTTATGTATAAATATCCGATTAACAGTAATATCATCTTTTTTTGTCGATATTGATTATGCATGTTGTTTAAAAGAAGGAGCATAACAATATATTATCGTTTTATTGAACGATTGATGTTCGTTGACTTTATAAAGAAATGCATAGGGAATTTATTAAAATAAAACATTTGATTATTAAAGCAATCAAATAAATGAATTAATCGATGAAAATATACTTTTTTTTTTACTAAATGAAGACATTTCTTAAAATAGATCACCTGTCTTTTGTAAATGTTCTCTATTGTCATGTGTTGTATCGTCAAAAAATGGATCACGTGCTCGTAAGCTTCTGCAAGAAAAAAAAGAGAAAACATAATTCTCTTATATCAAATAACGTCTGCTGTAGAAATCTTCAGACAAAATATTCGACTTCTCAGGTGAAAATGAGTTCGAAAGTGAATTTTTGGCATGACTAAGATAAGATATAAAGATCGTTCAGAACATTCGAATATAAACCACAATAATGAAGGTTATGAAGTTCTACACAACAGTTATGGTGGTCTAGAGCTTGTCGGGTTGGTCTCGGACCCAGATTCGGTTGAGTGTGTGTCCGAAAATTTTGAATCTGATGGACTCTAGCTGTTTGAGAAATTTTTAGAGTGCGCTAGTCACAGAATACAAAAAGTACTTCGATCTTCGAGTGATTATCCAATTCCGATTAGAAAATTTCATTGAGAGTATCAAAGTACGGTTCAGCAGGGCCCGGGTTCGAAAATTTTGAACTCAATAGGCTGTATGATAATCATCGATTCACTAGTCTACAGTGTAGCATTGCACTGATCTAGACACGTATGTACAGAATAACGGTAAAGAGAGTGAACGCATGATAAAACTATGGTGATCTTAGATTCATTTTGACTTTTTCGGTCAGACGAGGTTTATTTCAAGAAAATAGCTGAATTTTATAAAAGATACCTAAACTGCGAGACCTAAGCCATTGTTGAATGAGAAAATAGAACTTGTGAATTTCAACAAATCTTCTACAGATTCGAATTCCTAGACTCTGAAAATCTTTAGCCTATTTTTAAAAAAATTCAGCTATTTTCTTGGGATGCCCTCTTTGACCGAAAAAATCAAAACCAATTCAAGATCACCATATAGTGTCATCATGCTTTCACCGTTAGTCTATACGGGCATGTTTAGACCAGTGCAAAGCTGTATGTAAGACTGGTACACCGTCATCGCTATATCTCTAGCCCGTAATCAGTACTAGTTTCATGTTTGATATTGACAACTGAAAAGATAATCTGAATGCCTCACAAGGAAGATTAACATAACGAAATATTTGACAAATTTCGAAATTTTTCTCTCGAAGCAAAGGCGCAGCTTTTTGAAAAATAATCTCCGTCAGACAGCTACTATACATTACCAGTATTTACTTCCTCTCAAAATCTGTATTTTGCTAATCAACATTCAGTCACTCATTAATTACTTTAAATAACCAACAAATAATTCATCTCAACACTTTTACGATAGACATTATTGAAAACAAGTCAACATACCTGACTTGATATGGATCAAGTTTATAATGAGTAATACGTTCATCACCATAACTGTCTAATGGATTAAATACTTTGTTATTTTCTGTAAAACCAGTTGCTCGTGGTTGTTGGATACCACCAACAACATAACCTTCATGATCACGTCCTTTTCGGTTCATATCAAAATGACTATTTTATAATACATAAAAGAATCTCGATGTAGTTGTTTTTTTAGAAAAAAAAATTTGTCATACTTTATTTGATAACTTGTAATAAATCGACGTGGATCATCAAATG